TTAGCCGCCGAAGCCGTAGAGGGTGCGTCCCTGGCGCTTGAGCGCGTACACCACGTCCATGGCCGTGACCGTCTTGCGCTTGGCGTGCTCCGTGTAGGTGACGGCGTCGCGGATCACGTTCTCCAGGAARACCTTGAGYACGCCGCGCGTCTCCTCGTAGATGAGCCCCGAGATGCGCTTCACGCCGCCGCGCCGCGCCAGCCGCCGGATGGCCGGCTTGGTGATGCCCTGGATGTTGTCGCGCAGCACCTTGCGGTGCCGCTTGGCGCCGCCCTTGCCGAGCCCCTTGCCGCCCTTGCCCCTGCCGGACATGCTGCCGCTGAAACTCGCACGACTCGCCGCGAGTGGCGGGAAGCGGCGCCCGCGCCCGCCCTATATGGCCGGCGGTCCGACCTGGTTGGGGACTGGCGCGCGCGGCGGGGCCGCCCAGGGGCGGGCTCTGCTCCTGCTGCTTCGCTCCGCTCCGCTCCCTGCCGCCCCGCCCGCTCCCCGGGCCCTGGCGCGGCCACGCTCCCGCGCGCGGGGCGGGGCGGGGCGGGGCGAGAGGCTCCCGGCGCTCGGAGCCCGCGGGGGGCGGCTCCGCCTGGCTGGCGGCAGGAGGGGCTGCGGGCGGGCGGGGGGCCCGAGTCGGCAGCGAGACGCGGCCGGTGGGGGCGGGAGCCCCGGAGCCGCCGCCCCGCCCTCCCCGCCGCCATTTCGCGTCGCGCCGACAACGGCGCTGCCGGAGAGGGCGGGCCCSTTTTCTCCCTTTGTGGCCTTTCTGCTCGTGCTCGGTGTCTCCAGCTACGGCCACAGCTCCCGCAACGCAACGTTTACCTTTCGTGCCAGCCATCAYGGGGCTGTAGCTGCGGGTGGAGCTCCTGTGTTTACACAGGTATCGCAGCAGGTTTGTGTAGTAGTCGTTAATGGATCCGTTATTTTTCTCTTTCTCCTAAGAGATCGTATGTTGTTGTAAATATCGTGTATTGTGGGYGGCAAATAGACGCTTAATCAACTAAATATGCAAGATAAGCTAGATTTTGTTATGAGCAAAAATGACTTCAGTTTGCTCTGCATAAGCTGATTATCTTAAGGATAGATTTCCAGGCACTGTTCACTTTTTATGACATTAATTTTTACTGTAACAGTACTGTAGGGAGCAGCAATACTCAGGCTTCCTAAGCTCCTCTAAGACTGAATTCATTRTTCTAATGTACTGTATTTTTTTCAGCACCTTGAAATTAACGAATTATTTTATGCACTGTAATGCATAAATGATTTGAATGATTAGTGGAGTAAGAACTTTTGAAAATAAAAGAAAACATTTTCCCCCCTCTATTTATATTTGATACACGAGTACATTACAACAGAAATCTCTGTAAAACTTCTGCCTACTGAAAAAATCTACTGCTATTTGATTCTTATTTCTTTAGTTCTGGACCTTATCATCCACATCCACATCCATCCACACACATATGTGACAGGAATTTTTGCTGATRTTGGTAACTATTCATTTTACTATATTTTTACATGAAATCTTCTGTTTAAAACTACTAAACATTCTTCCTTTATTCCACAACTTTTGTATAGTTTGCTTTTTTTTTTTCCCCAAGAGATTGTGAATGGTTCAAGTGTTACATTCTTTCAGATATTTCACATAATCAGTTTCATCATCTTTAGGAGCAACCTGGAAAGGTGCCACATTCAATTCCCCTGCCATGTTTGGATATGTCGATTAACTGTTGTTAAAATATTTGTCTATTTTAGCACTTTTTTCCCTTTATTTATTTGCTTATTTATTTATTATAGTGCACTGAGTAGCCCTTTTCCTTGCCTTCTGTTTGTGTCTTTTTGGAAGTGTGACAATCCAGCTGTCCACATGTTGGACTGAACTCAAACAGTTAATGGCATAAATTGTCCTTCCCTCAGCAATTTATTGGCTCCAGAAAGGGTAAAGATACATGTTAATAAGCCTAATGTTTTACTATGAATATTGGTACATTGAACCTTTGTAGATATGACACCAATATCCTATTACATAGAGTAGATTGCTATATGTGTGTTTGGATGTTTTGAGGAAAATGGTCCTCTATTTCTTGACTTTTAATATCAAGCTACTTTTACCATGCTTACCTTTTGCATACCAAATTACAGAAAGNCCAAATTACAGAAAGGTTTTTTTTACTGCTTTTTTTTTTTTTTTTTTTTTTTTTTTTTTAGCATACTGTACATGCCTGGCATCTTTGTGCAGCCTTAGATGTGAAATAACAATATGTATGTTATTGAACTTTCATAGAACTCTTCAAGGAAGATAAAATTAAACCAAAGAGAACTGCGTACATCCAGCATGTATTTGCAGTTCAGACATTTCAATGTCCTTGGAAAGCAAGAGAGCATGTAGAGCAATTTGAATTTACTGAATTCTGGAGTAAAGCTTTATTTTCTGAAGTGACATCCTAATTTACTTTTTCTCTGTGGCTTGGTGTTCCTGGTGGCTTGTTCACAAAGTGCAGATTAATTCATGGACTTTCATTAATCACCTTTACAAAGCAGCTATCTCCATGACTCAAGAAAGTGCAGGGAAAGTAAAGAGTTCTTTTTTCCTCTGAACATACTGCATTGGATSGAAGAACCTTGTGATGTCTCTTTCAATGTTGGCAGCAGGCATGGGACCATGGACAGAAGGAAAAGGTTGGGAGATGACAGGAGAGAGAGAGAGAGAGAAAGGCCCTACTCATCTTCCCATTCCAGGTATGTCAGAGAAAGTTGCAATGCTCTAATGTTCCTTTACTCTTCTATATTGACTTTGAATCTCTGAATCACTGACCTCTCATCTTTTATTCTAGTTCATACCCCTGACATTTTCCAAGGGAATCCTCCAGAGAAGAAGGCTGTTTCTTGAAATACCGTGCTTTTCAACTGCGTACTTCAAAGCATGTTTCCTGTCAGAGATTTTTATTTATTTTTATTATTTATTTATTTATTTATTTATTTATTTTTGGTGTGCAGGAGGGGGCACAGGTTGAAGGAACTTGCTTAGTTATCTAAAGAAGATGTTTATGTCTCACTAAGTGCACCAACACGCAGCCACAGGAAAGAAAGACTAGGGAAGTGTCTGCCTCACCTTGCACCAGACGAGTGTTGTAATAATCTTGTGGTGTCCTCTCACGTTTCTGATTAACCTRAACTCTGCCTACTGTGCAAAGTCCTCTCATTTTATTCTTCCCACACAGAAATGTGCTCTCACGTTAAACTGTGCATTTGATCCATATTTTTTCTTCAACTGCTGTCTTACCAGCTAGGATGTGCTTCTAAGAGGACTGACAAGTAGGAAAAGAGCTACAAGGAAATAGTTCAGCTAGGTGCTGGCTGAAAGAAATAGGGTGAGTAAAGATCCTATGTGTTTAGAAGGGATTTTGACACTTCTGACTGGGATATAGGATATGGCAAATTTATGAAGAGATTCGTTCACTTGAGTTGATTATATATCTATATAAATATATATGCTATATTAATGATATATTTTTTTCTCTAGTCAACAGGATGGTCATGCAGAGACAAAAACCTGCCATATATATCTAGCCATTGTGCAATGCTCCGTTCTGTACAGCAGCTAATCTTACCTGCCATCCAGCCAGCCAGCCTTTGTAATGACCTCACTAGATCTCACTTTCTCAATTATTTGCAAAAATGCTATAATTTCAACGAAACACTTATCTTTAAGGACATCTACTTAAGTAATTATATTTCCCCCCGCCCCCAGGCTAATTGATTCTGAAGCCAACTTTGTGATTCTGCAATGCCACTTTTTGAGCAGGTCTTTTACATTTTACATGATCTCTTGGGAATGACTCAAACTCTAGTGCTCAAAGCTTCTCAACAACCAAAGTTTCCTGAACATCTGAAGAGACATACTGAGGCTGAACTTACTTCAGGAATCCCAGTAAAACCAGAGGTTGTCCTGAAGTCTGCAGCAGTCAGCACTCGTGAATCTAGCTGGTGCTATGTGCCCATGGTGTGCTCGCAACCCGCCTTGTCCCATCCCCTTCAACCACAGGTTGTTGATAACTCTTTGAGCTGTGGACTGTGTCTGACCTTTCAGATGCATGAGCACAACTTCATTCTTATCAGGAAGCCATTCCCTATTCTCTATTCCCTATTTTCTATGCCATTCCCTATTTGCTATGCTTGGCAGCTCAGTGTGTCCCTGATTTGGTGCTGGATCCTCAAGTTTGTGGGCACAGCCCGGGTCCCTGCACTTACTTGGACTGAAGTGGTGGACCTGGCAGCAGAACAGGCTGCTCTCCCTCTGGTCGGTCTGTGTCACACAGCAGGATTTCCCTGGTTTTTGTCAAGACATGAAGCAGTGATGCAAGACATGCTTGTCTTGTGCCTCTGCCTGTGATCTGGTGCTGGAGGCCTCCGCTGTTGCATCTAAAGCCGCTTTGCTCAACAAGGAAGCAAGACCAAAACCCAGCAGCAGGTGCCAGATGGAGCCGCCACACAGCTGGGGTGGGGGCAGCTCCTGCCCTGTGGATGTGGATGGCAGGGACCATCTCTGACAGACACATGAACATCCCTAAAATTCTCCTCTGCTCTCCATCTTTCTARCAGTTTCCTGCTGTAACAGGGCATTGCTATGGAGGAAACGTAACTGGGAGGTAAGTGTGCCAACAGCAAAGGCAACATGTAACAAGTTGTGCCAACAGATAACCAGATACTTTCTCTGTTTGTATTTTTTTTCTCTGTGTTCACATTTAAGCTTGTGACTTTTTATACATTGCTCTGTTTATTCAATAACCTTCAGTAGGGCTTGCAGTCTATTAAATGAAGGAGACTGCTGTTTGTCTTGGGGAGTCATGAAGGTACAGTTCATGAGAGTTTTGGAGATATGCTGTGAAAGCATCATGATAGGCTTAACATAGTGATGTATTCTCATATATCTCCCCTGTTGCTTCTTTTCAGCCACTCTTAGAACGCAGGGTACATCCAGGAGAAGGACTGGAAGTGCCTTTATAGCCCTTGTGGCAGGCTGCATTCCCCTCTGGCTCCTTGCACTGCCGAGGAGAGATCTCTGCAGCACTGTGGGAATGCAAAGTGAGGGATATTTCCATCCCAAGCTACTGTGAGGAACAAGGCTACCTGCGAGGCACCTCTTGCCATGGCCAACATAGCAACACCAGACACTCTTGTGGCATATCTGCAGTGGGGACAAAGCAGAACACCTGGAATTACGAGGTAAATAAATGTGGCCGTCTTCGAAGGAAAAGTAGTGAAGGTATCCTTACATATTCCTAGAAGACAAATGGGTAAATTTCTCAAGTTTATGAGGTCAAATATAATTTCTATGTTAATTACTAACCCAAGGGTTACTGAGGTCTGAGGGGATGCCTAAGCATCTAGGAAGGTTTCCTTGAACAAAAGGACTCCTTGTCTTCACAGATCCTTTATTTATTTATTTATTTATTTATTTATTTATTATTTCAAATGAAAGGAAAGAGCTGAAGGTGATGAATGAAAAGATGAGGATGGATCCACTTACCCAACTGTCCTCTACAGAACTGAGTTCTGGAGAATGCAGCTGCTGGCATAATCGTTAACACTTCATGATATTGATGCTAAATACTTTAATCTCCYAAAATGCCTTTCTGAATTGGTCACTGCTATATTAACTGCCATTCAATTGCACCAAATAGGTGAATATCACAGCTTGGTTTTTGCTCTAAGTGGGGGGAAAAAAAGAGAAAAAAAAAGAAACTAGCAAATTACCCCTGCTCTTCCTTAAGCAAATATTTTATTTTTCCAGCAATTTACAAAAAGTTTATATAATTTTGGGTCCTGATTTGTGCTTGTGTGCCTATGGTTCTCTCAAAAAGCCAAATGTAATTTTAGAAATAGATTGGTGGGCTTCAAACTATCGGAGGATGCAACAGATGAAGTTCCATAGCAGGGCAACGGATAATCTATAGAAAGAGGGGAGGATTTGGTTTCTACTTGAGATTCCTACCCACGGCTGAAGAGCAGTATCATTCATATGCACAGAGTGCAGGTTTTTTTTTTTTTTTTTTGTATTCAAAATCCTAAGGAGATGATATATAGAACTACCACCTAACAAATAAATAAATTAAAAAAATAAAAGATTTGCTTGTGTCAGCCTGGTTAGTATGGTATGAGTGTTTCTGCACTATGTAGGGATGCATGGAATTTTGTAGGCCTGAATGAACAGGATGTAGAGGTTTTGATGAGGATGAGCTCCTTGCAGAAGCTGCTTATTAAGCAACTTGTCTGCTCTCTCAGGCATCAAGTCTGCAGAATCAAAATCACTTTGCACAGTAAAACAGTCAAGTAATTGCTCCTTGGTCTTTTATCCTGGACAAACAAACAAACCAAAACAACAACAACAAAGTAAACCTAAGAACAATGGAAATACTAGATTTATTCACAGCAAAGGCTGTTTTTAACTACGGCTTTCTGCTGGGCTACCAGGGTGCTCATGCGCTCACTGCAACCTGAACCCACAGATTCACCTCTCTCTTTGAAGATTAAGGGCATGGAAACGACTCGTGGGGGAGGAGAGGGAGAAACAGAGGATGGGGAAGCAGCTGGAGGAGGAAGAGAGAGGAGGGAATGGGAGGCACTGCGGGACCCGCTGCAAAATTCGCAAAGCAGTGCCTGCTAAACCCAGCCACTTGTCCCAGTAGGCAGCTGCCGAACAGCAACAGGCCCTTGGAAGAAGAGAAAAATAGGGATCTGTGAGCAAGGAATAACTGTGCGTTATAGCTGTGCGTGATTTTGTTGAGCATTAAAGCTACATGGATTATATATTGACATCTGCAAATGGAGGCCTCGGCTGACTTTCTGCAGCTCCAATATAATTAGCTTTAAGGCTTCAAGCTGATTTTCTGTTTCCTGAATATGATCAGCATTGTTTCTGCAACAATTGTGAATGGAAGGAATCATATGAGATTCTGTGAAAGCCTATTAAGGCCTAAATCTTTTGAAAGGAAGTATTGGACTGGAATGGCTAAGCCATAAGAATAAGATATAAATACTGATATATTATTATTGAAGTACTTCATTCTCCCATCCTAAGCCTTTCACTACATCAAAAACCACTGGACTATCATTCTCCACGTGTAACCAGAGAGGAACACTGGATTTAGAATTAGCGGTTGTGTGTCTCATGAATTAAAGATAGAATGGAAAAAGATCTGCCGCATGTTCATTAGATGTATTAAACTTCTCTGATTCTGTATGTCTTGTTTGCCAATATCTAAAACGACCCTGTACGACCCTGTAGTATGTAACTAAGAGAAAAAGCAACCGTCTCTACATTGTATCTGATTTACAAGATTTATTTCTGTTTGATTGTTTTCTAGTTTGCTATGGATGGTGATGGAAAGTGGAAAAGGAACTAAATAGTTAAGTGAAAGTATTTGAAAATTACATGTATGCACGTTGTTTATTACATATACACACTTTTTTATTACATATACACACATTGTTTACATATACATACGTTGTTTATCTTTATTTGCACTTTGCTACATGAATATTCAAATAAGTTTTACACAGAACAATCCATAAGTTCACATATGCACTCTGCAACAGGCAATTAATTGCTTTCACTTCTATTGGCCTGATTAAGAAAAACAAGGAAGCAAATTATTTCCAGCAATAGTAGTATAACATTCCAAGTATATTTCAGTTAAAAAATAAGATATTTTGGCTTTCATGGTTTTTTTTCCTCAAATAAAATAAAAAAAAAAAGAAAAAAAAGTATGAAGGGAATATTGGTGATGTAGCAAATGGAACATTAGTCACAAGCTGCTATGAAAGGAAACCAGGCTTTTTATGTGCACTGTCTCAYGGGAGGACCATGGCTGGAGAGGCAGGATACAACAACAAAATTCCTAAGAGGATGGGAGTGAATTACCATGAGTGGGTGTAATTTGTTTTCAATAAAACACAGSAATGTAATTTCTACTTTAAAGTAGGTAAGATTCTCGTGTTTCCTTTGAAATTAAAATGCTAGAATGTTTCTGTTCTGAGGTGATGTTTGGAACATTAACGAGGGAAACTGGCTTGCTTTGTTGTCAAGAGTGGTTGAAAAAGAGGTTCAGTGCTTCAGCGTTGGGATTGGATTTGAAAAGTGAGGAAAAACTTCCCCGTCCTCTCGTCCCCCCCGGCCTCTACCCCTTCTCGCCCGCATCGTATTTCTTAGGGAAAAATGAAACGCAGGAGGCCAAAACTGAGGCTCGGAGGCAGCTATTTCAAGCCGAGGGTTTTTCAAACAGTCCAACCAGGGGCTTCAACAAATTAATGTCTGCTTCAGACCTGCTCCATAGATTTTACCCTCGGCATCGTCAATTATCTACATGTATGGGCTGTTGTGTATGCGGTATGAAAGCATGTGAGCTTTTCCAAAAACAAASAAACAATGAAGTTTATTATTTTAGAAATAATTCTCTAGTTTTCCATGACTTAGGAGTTCAKCATCGTTGCTGATGAAGCGTTACAGCTAATACAGTTTCAAACCCTACTGTTTCAAAGACTAACTTTTTTATAGTAGACGATAACAATAACTAACGATTCACAGATTCACAGATTCACAGAATATTTAAGGTTGGAAGGGACCTCTACAGGTCATCTAGTCCAACCTTCCTGCTCAAGCAGGCACACCTACAGCATGTGGCACAGGGTGGCATCCAGGCGGGTTTTGAAGACCTCCAGAGTAGGAGACTCCACAACCTCCCTGGGCAGCCTGTTCCACTGCTCTGTCACCCTAACAGTAAAGAAGTTGCTCCTCACCTGGAGACAGAACTTCTTGTGYTTCAGCTTGTGGCCATTACCCCTCGTCCTATCGCTGGCCACCAGTGAGAACAGCYTGTCCCCTTCCTCCCTGCATTCTCCCTTCCTGAACTTATACATATTAATCAKATCCCCTSTSAGCCKTCTCTTCTCCAGAGAAAACAGGCCCAGCTCACTCAGCCTCTCTTCATACGAGAGATGTTCCATTCCCTTAATCATCCTGGTTGCCCTTCTCTGGACCCTCTCSAGAAGCTCCACGTCCCTCCTATACTGGGGTGCCCAGAACTGAACACAGTACTCCAGGTGCGGCCTCACCAGAGCTGAGTAGAGGGGCAGAATCACCTCCCTTGACCTGCTGGCAACACTCCTCCTGATGCAGCCAGGATCCCATTGGCCTTCTTGGCCACGAGGGCACACTGCTGCCTCATGGTGAACTTGGTGTCAACCAGGACTCCCAGGTCCCTCTCCGTGGAGGTGCTTTCCAGCACATCTTTACGATACATCTTTAACTGAAAAAAAAAAAGAAGAAAAGCAGCAAATGGCTGAAGAAGAAACCTTTGAAATCAACTTCGTGATTTTCACCCTGTTTGCAGGAGACTCGTTATCCTGTGGTGCTTCTTTCTCCTCTTTCTCTTTGAAGTGTTAATTAACGCATTGCCATAAAATGCCTCGCTCTTCAGAGAGGGAATTGCAAAAACAGGAAGGAGCTATTCTGTTCTCGAGCCTCCAGATGCAGTTTTAAATGACAAAAGGAGGAGTTTCTCTCACTCCTCGGTTGAAGGCTCCTTCAGATTCCGACCTGGGGCGATCCTGGCTCCTCTTCATCTTGTATGGTGCTTTTTTTCCCATATGATAGACGAAAACATCCTACTTCATTTTCATTTGCCTCACGAAAGATGGCATGAACTGTGCAATATGGTGCTCTATATAATAAGTTACGAAGAATCATAGAAGGAAGATGTGTTTTCGCTCCTGTGGAGAACCACTTTTGGGAGTGCTACTAAAAGTACTAATCGCGAAAAGACTTTATTTATTTATTTATTTATTTTCAATTCTCTCTACTCCAATCCTGAAACACATTTGCAACAATGTCGGAGATTACTCCCACCGCCACAGCAGCCACTTTGACCTCGGCTCAACCCGGTCACGACCAAGAAGGCGGCGGCGGTGGAGAAGACCCCCAAGAAAGAGAAGAAATCAGCAGCTGCCAAGAAAGCCAGGCAGGCGAAAGGCCCCCCTTGTTTTCCCCAAACAAACAAATAAATGAACAGTGAAAAGCYCGGCCAAGACCAAAGGCAGTGAATCCTCAACCTGCTAAGCCCAGGGCGACTAAGCCCCAAASGGCCCAAGGCGGTCCTCAAGAAGTAAGTGATATTGACAAAATAAACTTCTGCCGCAACCCCTTAAGAACCAACCTGGCTGGCTGTTAAAAAACAATTTGCTTCGCGATTTTTCCCTGCTGTTGCTTATGTGTGGCTTTGCTGGCTCGTACACAGAAACTTACAGAATAAGAAAATATGTCGTAGTGTATTTAGTCAGAAATCACGATTGTCCCTTCCTGCTTATTCCTCCCTCACCCCCACCAATATTTATTCGAAAGAGTCGACAATGCCTGAATCTGGCGTTTATTACCTGAGCTGTAAAATCACAAAGAGTCTTAAGCCACCGCTGGCCTAAGAAACTCTGTAGCCCTGGAGGACGGCAAAGAAAAAAATAAAGATGAAGTAAAAGAGTCGCATGAGGGCTCATATAACGCTTCCTGGCACTTCCTAACAAAGACCTTGGTCCCCCCTTTCCGTATCCTAAGCGCGGGAGACGGCTGCGGCGCGGGAGGATCCGCAGCGCTTCTGGCGCCGCGTTTGAAACCAGAGCGCCGTGCGCGGATTGGGCGCCGCTGGCCACGCCCCCTCTGCGTCACGGCAGCCGCCGTCTCCTCCCCGGCCGGGGAATGTCGCTCCCGTGCCTGTGAAACCCGGAGCACCAGCTCCAGGCTGCCCTAAACCGCTCTTCGCACCACCTTCCCTTACGGCATGAAGCGCTGATTGAAGTTCGCCTTCTCAGCCATGCTCATTCTGATATATGAACACATGGTTCTATCTATGTGTTCGTTTTCAGCGTATGTCACCTTAGAGAGTGTGCTATATTTACTTTTACCTACATATGCATATATATACACACACATATATATACACTTACAAAAGCATCAACGGGGCTCAGCTTAAACATATATATTTACATTTAAATGATTTGTTACATAGAACCATAATTATCTTGCGATTTCAAAGTATTAGCAAATAATCTTAGTGCTGGTAAACTCAAGTGTTTCTGGTCTTTTAGAGAAAAGTTGTGGGTGGCTCTGAAAAGAGCCTTTGGGTTGTTTCTTTGATCAGTTTCACTTGGCCTTGGCTTTGTGGCTGTCGGTCTTCTTGGGCAGCAGCACGGCCTGGATGTTGGGCAGCACGCCGCCCTGCGCGATCGTCACCTTGCCCAGCAGCTTGTTGAGCTCCTCGTCGTTGCGGATGGCCAGCTGCAGGTGGCGCGGGATGATGCGCGTCTTCTTGTTGTCGCGCGCCGCGTTGCCCGCCAGCTCCAGGATCTCGGCCGTCAGGTACTCCAGCACGGCCGCCAGGTAGACGGGCGCGCCGGCGCCCACGCGCTCCGCGTAGTTGCCCTTGCGCAGCAGCCGGTGCACGCGGCCCACGGGGAACTGCAGCCCGGCCCGCGACGAGCGCGACTTGGCCTTGGCGCGCGCCTTCCCGCCCTGCTTCCCGCGGCCGGACATTTTCTCTGTATCAGAAGAGAAAAAACTCCGCAAATGAGACAAAGCTGCGAGAAGAGGCGAAAATGACCCGAAAACCGCCACCCTGCCTTTTTATAGCTTCTTTGTGGGGTTCAACAGGACTTGTGATTGGGTGAGAACGAGATTGTGATAGCAGCCAATGAAAAGGCTGGTGCTGTAGCGACCAATTGACGCGTAGCTGCTTGTGACATCAGGACTGCCATCTGTCCAATAGAGAAGTGCAGCCGCGAGTCGTCTCATTTGCATACGGCCCCTATAAAGGCGGGCCGCGCCGCTATTGTACGTACGTTGTTCCTGCGGTAGTGAGGGAGCGACAGGCTGGTGAAATGCCGGAGCCAGCGAAATCAGCCCCTGCCCCGAAGAAAGGCTCTAAGAAAGCCGTCACCAAGACACAGAAAAAAGGTGACAAGAAACGTAGAAAGACAAGGAAGGAGAGCTACTCTATCTACGTGTACAAGGTGCTGAAGCAGGTGCACCCCGAYACGGGCATCTCGTCCAAGGCCATGGGCATCATGAACTCGTTCGTGAACGACATCTTCGAGCGCATCGCCGGCGAGGCGTCGCGCCTGGCGCACTACAACAAGCGCTCCACCATCACGTCRCGGGAGATCCAGACGGCCGTGCGGCTGCTGCTGCCYGGCGAGCTGGCCAAGCACGCCGTGTCGGAGGGCACCAAGGCCGTCACCAAGTACACCAGCTCCAAGTAAATTTCTTGTTTGGAAGATCGTCTAACCCAAAGGCTCTTTTAAGAGCCACCCACGTTTTCAGTAAAAGAGTCGTTCACAGATTCAGCTGGGTGAGTGGCGCTGGTATTTAATGCGACATCAAAGGGGTACCTTAAGCGTTTCTCGAGTTTAGCTTCGACTTAATTTGTTTCGTTTGTTCCTTTATTTAGTTTAAAAATTCGAAGCGGTTTTGTATTTGGAAGCTTTAGAGAAAAAAATGACATATGTAAGCCCTAGCTCCCTAGTCATTTCCCACGTCCATGAAGCTAGTTGAAAAYGAGAAAAAAAAGTTAGAAAGCTTTTAATAATTCTGCTCTTAAATACTTTTTTTTTTTTTTCTCTCCTGATTATTAAGGTAATTACATCGACACTGGCTGTCGAGTATGAATTAAGAAATATGCTTAACAAGACTTCAAGCTTCTTTAACATCTTTTAAATGAAATAAATACTATTTTTGGAGGATTAAAATTAATGCTTATTTTTGATTTACCCTTCTTGTCTTTTACGAAATATTTCCTACCCTTTAAAATAATTGCTAYTTTTGTACGTTCTTGCTGAAGCCACAGCGTTGCTTGTTTACTCCGAGAGATCTATGAGGATTTTGCTGCGACCTCTAGAAGATGTTTCATGATATATTTCGCACCATGCAAGGTTAAAAAGGGAATAGAAAATCCTCTATTTTCACCACTTCACTTCCCTGACGGGTTTGATAATGTGCTTCTTTGTAGTCCTTTAAAAAAAATAGAGAATATTCACGGGAGAGTAGGAATGTCAATAATGTCTGTGAAGTGAAAGAACACACGGGAACAATAAGGAAATAATGAGCTTTAAGGAATAGAAAGATTGAAGGATAAGCAGCACTTTCTTGAACGTTTAGCAGAGGACGATAAGCAAAGTTCGATTTCCTCCCTCCACACGCACTCCCCAAATCCTACCAGATTTGCATCTATCCTTGGCAGTCAGATACGAGCGCATGGGCAGTAATAGAAATGTCTGTTCCAGGAGATGAAAAGCGCTCTGCGCAAGCGGGTCGGTGACCGCTTTGTGTGAAAATTTCTGCCGCCCCGGGCCTCGTTGCTTGGCGCAGATCCAGGGGTCGAAGAGAAACCGGAGCGAGGAGCGGATCCGGAGCGGGCGGGATGAAAGAGAGAGAGAAGGCGCGGGGGGGAGGCGGGGTGGAGCGAAGGGAGGTGGTGGGGGGGAATAGGGTATGGGGGGGGCAGTGGGAGCCCTGCAGAGCGCGGGCTTCTCCAGCCGTTTGAATCGCCCAATGGCATTGGCGCCTCCTCCCTAGCCAATCACGGCGCGCGGGTGTCTATAAATAGCGGGCTCCGCCGCTGCCACCTCCACAGTTTCCTCTGGGTTGGGGTCTGGGCTGCGGCAGCTGCTCCTGCGATGGCGCGCACGAAGCAGACGGCGCGTAAGTCGACGGGCGGGAAGGCGCCGCGCAAGCAGCTGGCCACCAAGGCGGCCCGCAAGAGCGCGCCGGCCACGGGCGGCGTGAAGAAGCCGCACCGCTACCGGCCCGGCACGGTGGCGCTGCGCGAGATCCGGCGCTACCAGAAGTCGACGGAGCTGCTGATCCGCAAGCTGCCCTTCCARCGGCTGGTGCGCGAGATCGCGCAGGACTTCAAGACGGACCTGCGCTTCCAGAGCTCGGCCGTGATGGCGCTGCAGGAGGCGAGCGAGGCCTACCTGGTGGGGCTCTTCGAGGACACCAACCTGTGCGCCATCCACGCCAAGCGCGTCACCATCATGCCCAAGGACATCCAGCTGGCGCGCCGCATCCGCGGAGAGCGCGCCTGARCCTCCTAGTAGCCCARYCTTTGTCAGTTTTGTCAGACTATCGAAAACCCAAAGGCTCTTTTAAGAGCCACCACATTGACACGAGAAAGAGCTGTAAGTCTTAGTTTGTGTTGGGGAAGGATGCATTTTTTTTTTTCCTGCTTCTCTGAGGCTCCTATGCAAGTTGGTCATGGTAAGATTAAACGTGTGGACCATATTTCGAGGGGGTTGAGCAGGATATGGAACAAACTGACCAAAGTAGTTGCTGTTTAGCTTTTCATGCTGATCGAGTGTGCATGTTTAGGCTAGAATTTTTCTTTGCTGCCTTTCTGTGTGAGCAGACTATACAGAATATTTTTCTCATCCTTACAAATTTTTTCTTTAGGAAAAGGATAAGCTGGGTTTTTAAACATACATGCTTTTTCTTCTTTTTCCTTACCCTTTTAATTTCCTAAGTAGAAAGAAGTCCATTCCTGTTTTTTCAGACAGCCTGGGGCGATTCTTTAATTTCACTGCTGTTTTTTTCCCTGTTGTCCCTGGTAATGCGAGTTCGTCTGCCCTGAGGGATGTCCCTGGACACCAGCCATTCTCAAGGGCTGTTCGTTAATCCACAGGGGAAACTGCTTCCCCGGGTGGGCACGAGGTCTCTGAGACCCACCCCCCCATTGCTAAAGAGAAGAAATTTATGCTGCTGGGGGACCCTTTACTGCTGTGTGTGTCCTGGCTGAATATCCATACGTGTCTATTTGGATTGAGCCTCCCCCCCCCCCCCGCGCCTCGTCTGCTATATTTGCTAAATCTCGACAGTATTTACTGAAGCTGGCACAGAAAATATTTTCCCTGGGAATGGTGGAATGATTTTAGACCGCTAAAAATTTGATATTGTAATAGAAATTTCTGCAAGATTCTTATGTGAAATACTGTGCCACCCAGCATGGTCCTTGGTGCTAGCTTCTAGCGAGTGTATCTAAAAAACAGGATTTCTCCCTGACTGGATTTTCGTTATGCATTTGCACAGTCCCTTGATCTTCTGCTTAGCAACCCCATCCCTTGAAAATGTAATTCTTAAAAATAACTACCTATTTTTTTAATGTACAGTTAATATATCATTTCGGATGATCCATGGTCTACTGCAACATCAGAATAATGCTTAAAAGAAGGAACTCAGAAAGTGTTGGATTCAAGTGAGTGTAGCTTTAATTTGCTCATTGATAGGGTGCTACACAGTCTTACACAGAAGAAATAAGTATCTTTCAGTGTCTGATGCTGTAAGAATATTTATTTTCTTTTAATTTCTGGTTCTTTTCACCTCAAACTCTTCCTTTTCCTGTTTCAGGAATTCATACTCTGCAGCAAAATCTGACCAATCAAGTTCCTTGATGCACCATTTTCTTTTGCTTTTTTTTTTTTTCCCTTCCTCTGCTTGCTTTCAGCCATTTTCTATTGCTAAAACTCAGAGGGTTAATAGGGAGGGGAAAATGGTTCCAAAATAACCCCTTGGGAACTAAATTATGCAGACTATACTCCTGCTGTGGGTTTTGCTCATTAATAAAAGGTTTGTGGGTTTTTAATACAGTTTAATTTTGTAATAGGATGGTTGCAGTAATGATTATTGCTATGGATGTGGTATAGTTGCAGAAGTTACTAGGTAAGTTAAATATATTTTCATCTTACTGTTTATTTGATGCAGGGGAATCTATTCTTGCCTACTATCTAAACCTACTTATAATATTAACAAGTTTATGATGATGAGCGTAATAATAAATGTAAATCAACTAAAATGTCATGTTGGTATTTTTAGTGAATTAACATCAAATACTAACTAACAAAATGATAAAATTTCTCTAAAGATTTGAGAAGTCTTCCTTATTTGCGAGATTAGAGAATAAATCTTTTGGGAGGAATGTGACAGGAAGAGAGCATTAATTTCTCTTAAACATTATTGGTACTATTCTGAGGACTCTGTTTTAATAAATATTGGGTTACTCTGAGTCTTTCTACAATTGTGTATTTGACAATCAGTAATGCTCCATCCATTATAATCGAGAAAGGAATAGGCCTGCAAGGCTTCTATCTTTTTTTTTTTTTTTTAAGTGGCATGCAGTGACAAAATGAAAACCGTCATAGGAATTACTAGACATGTTTGCATGTGGCATATGAATTTGGGGGGAAAACTGAATATCAGGCAAGCCTGAAATACTACTACCTAGAAAGAGCACTAAAAGCAAGCCATTTGGCTCTAACATTTTTTCCGAGAGTAAATGTTTAAGTCCCTCCAGCATTACCATCCTTTTGCTGCTTTTTATAGGATGGAGCTTTGCCTGCTGAATCCATCAGGGAGAGCCTGGCTGCATGAGCAGCTTGCTCACTAGCCAAAGGRCTGCCTTGAAATCCGCTGGCTCATAGTCACATAAGGTGCTTTTGCTGCCAACTCTAACTGCTCTGTGAGATGTTTGTTCCTGGCTCTTTTTCCAGTTTCTGTGGGTGGTCTGGTGCTTGGGAAGATCTGGTTTAAGTCACTCCTGAAGAACAGACTTCCTCTCATAATTAATAGGTATAATTGCATATAATCTCTGAGATTGGTTGGAATTCCTCCTAATTCTCATTGGAACTGCATGAAACTGTATTTGTACAATGTGTTGCAGTTTTAATCACTCATTATTGCCTGCTGGAAGAATCCTTTTTCTCTAAGAAAATTCAAAATCAGCTCCACTTTAGGTGTTGAAGAATTATCTGGAATATTTATATTTTCCTTAATGGAGAAAGAGTGAGTTTTTAATCTGAACTAGTTATTGTAAAATGACATGGGAATTTCCAAGAAAGATGTTTGCTGGAGATAAATCTTCCCATCACATTCTTTTTTTGCAAGTCTCTTTTTGCAGTTTCCCTGTTGAGTCAATTCTCTATTTCTATTCCTCAGTGACCACAAACAGTAAAGCCTGGGGCTGGTGCCTACAAGTGGTCAATCTCCTCTTCCCTGGTAGCCTGGGCATTTTTAAAACATCTTAGAAACATAACACTTATCACAGCAATATCACAGAGCCCTTGCTCTGTTCTCATCTTATATGAGTTTTTGGAAGAGCAACCAGCTACTTACTGTGAGTCTCAGTGAAACAGAAAGCTGTAGTCTCATCAAAGCCGGCACTCATGACTAATACAAAGGCAACCTGCTCAAATGACGTGTTACAGAAACCAGTGCAATGTTATTTCATAGCAACAGAGAACCATGAGCTCACTTTGATATCTTGTTTTTGAGGTTATTTTTGCACAAAAAGAAAAGTATGTATGTGTGGGGAAAGTCACTTTGAAGTTTTAAAACTTCACGAGGCATAGGTATGCTGGCAAACATCATTTGTTAGCATCTTCTCTTTATCTAAGGGAAGTCAGGAGAAGGGAGCACTTCCAGCTTTTCCAATCCCTTTGTTCTGGCCTATTTATCACTTGTAGGACTGTATAGTGGTAATATGCCAGATATTAGGGTCTGTGTGAAAATTATCACCTCTCAATTTTAAGAATATCATACATGATGGGCTGAACTGTGATGGGCAGCATTGCTCCAAGGAATCACTCCTATCTGTACAGAACACACATCTGCTTTGTAACTGAAAAAAACCCCATAGCTTTTAGGACTAGAGGAAATGGCCACAAGCTGAGGCACCAAAAGTGCCACAGGAACTTAAGGAAACACTTTTTGACAGTGAGGGTGCCAGAGCCCTGGCACAGGCTGCCCAGGGAGGTTGTGGAGTCTCCTTCTCTGGAGATCTTCCAAACCTGCTTGGATGCAGCCCTGTGCCATGTGCTCCAGGTGACCCTGTGTGTGCAGGGCGGTTGGACTTGATGACCTCTGAGGTCCCTTACAACCTTAAGCATTCTGTGGTTCTTAATCACTAGCAGGAATGAGTGGTGGCATTTGCTAACGCCGTGAACTCTCATAGCATAATAATAACTGGATTCTGTGATGGGTGAAAGCTCTGTTTGTCCATATGTGACTGATTACATTCTCAGAACACTGGAGTTTGTACAAACTTTTGACCGATACCGAGAATGATATGAATTGGAATATGGTGAGTGTGAGCACATGACAGAATGGCAGAAGAATAGCTGCAAATAGCAGAAGTTGATTGTACCAGGATGTGTCTGAATCTTGACTATTTACTACATGTAACATCTGGACATCCAGTTTGAAAATAAAAAGCACAGAGGAATGAAAGCCTGGGACAATACACTAAAGGAAATGAGAAAAAATTATGGCCAGATCCAGAGCAATCCAAAAACAAAATAATCCTTTAAGGAGACAAAAGAAAATGAGTAAATCTAAATGGTCCCGGAAATATAGAAGGATGGAGAGACAGAAGATTGGAATTGTTTTCAGCTTTTAACTCCTGCAAGAGGCACATTCAGAGGCAGGCATATATTCAAAGTAAGGTTTTCTCTTCCCTTCTCTTAGCTCCCAGAGCCCGGATGAGGGCTCATCATTACCATTTCTTGTCCTGCAAGTGACTCTAGCAAGCTCACTGGGCATGTGTTTTTCTTGGATCTATCGGTTTTCCTGTGTGTCTGTGTTTTAGAGTACACAAGCAATTACTTTTCTTTGAAACAAAGTTACTTTTTCCTCTTTATATATCTTTATATATTGTTTCCTTTATATATCTTTATATATTGTTTCTTTTAACTTCCTTACATCCTTTGCTACAGTGCTGCAACACTACTTGCTACAACTGCTTTCTACTGATGAGTTCAAGAGTTGCCACCTACAATTCATCACGTGTAGAGTAAAGGCACAGAATGAATAATTTTATGGATTGCAAATTAAGATGTCTATGCATATCATTAATTGCTAATGCATTTTGCAAAACTCCAGCTTCTGAAAGGTATCTATCACTTTAGTTAAATCCATGATGGTGACAAGTTGCAAGCTTTTGTAGTATCCTTAGAGACTTTCAGAGTGCGATGGGTGAGATTTTTTCCTTTTAGTTTTGTATTTTTTCCTCTCTATTTGTGTTTGCTTGCTTGTTTCTTTCCTCTTCCTTAATATTGGATTAGCTTAATTATGGAGAGAGCCAGGACAGCGGCATCATTTTCAGAACTGGCTCCCTCTCTTATGCAAGTTGCATCCAGAAGAATTGGGAGCAGTTTCCAGCACAGAAATGGGAAAGTTCTAAAGAAAATGTGCCGCCAGACTTGGTCATCTCCTGTTTGCCAATCTTTACTATGCTGTGCTGTGTCTCCTGTTCCAAAATATACTCAAGTACTACATATAGACTAAATATAGTTAGAATTTTCACTGTGTTGATCATATTTGCTACATATCTCTTTCTACAGCTCGCTCTCACCTTTGTCCTGATCCATCTCCATGCTTCTCTGAAAACTCCCCATAACTTTATTTACACTCCTTTCCTATATCATAAATATTCAAGGTATGGTTATGAGCTGTTGAACTGTTATTGCAAAGGATCCACCTGCTCTCTGCACATAGCTCTGCCACCCTCCCTCTACCACCCTGCTCTTTTATTTTTCATATTATAAAGCAGACACCAGTCATCCATCAGGATGGACTGCCTGGTATTATGAAATATGAAATTATGACTTTAGTAACTTCTGTTTGTGAATCCACTAAGAAGACAGATAGTCCATAAGGACATACTAGCGATCAGCGTCAGTAAGTGCTCAGATTTAAGCAAAACTTTTTGAGCAAAACTTGAAAATCTATATGATATTTTCTCACAAATGCTAGCATGATCTGCACACATGGCAAGCTTAATTCATTGTATAAGAATCATGAAAACAGGGAAGGATGACCTTTGTGACTCAGTGTTTCAAGAAATGCCAAAAACAATCAAATAAAAACAAACAAAAAAATACACAACAAAGTAAAAATTTTCCAGTGCATTTCAGAAACAATTCTAACCTTCAATGAGCTGAATGTAAATATTGCAAGAGAATATTCCTGGTCTCTCTGGTTCATATGAAGATAGTAGAGCAAGTGGAACACTGCTCAAGAATCAGAACACAGCAGATCACACTCTGACAATGTGCTGATAAAGGACATTTGTATGAAAATTGCTGTATACTTTACTGAAGTCAGCCAACTGAATATTAAAATCACTCTTGCACAGATTTTAAAGGACTTCCTATGAATAAAACATGCTGGCTACAGGTCAGATTAGTTGGTTAGGTATAAAGTATTACTATTACAATTATAAAAGGCAACTGTTCATGACTAAAATCAGGCCTTTTTTTTCCTTAGTCCTACTGGAGCTGGCCTTCCCAGAAGATCTCTTGAGCAGAGGAAACAGGTTTTTTTCAGTTTCTAACAATCATTTGTGTGTGCATGCACACACACCTATTCAAATGAATTTGACAGGGGAAGACCTTTTCAAAGGTCTGAGAGAAGTGACTACTACACAAATTCCAATCAAAATGAGGGGGAAGTCACTGTCCTGCTATCTCAGGCTACTTTGTTAATCTCAGTTCAGACTTGCGAAAACTTACCCAGACAAAATGGGACTCTCCACTCCCACAGTCAGTGCCTGAACTTTGCAATAAGGTAAGCAGCACCGTCAGGCTAGTTCTTGCTATTTAACTTGTTATCCAAATAACAATAAGAAGCCTGTGAGTTCACCCAGCAGTGTAGGCTCGATCTACATGGATTTTGAGTGTGATACAGCCAATATTGGTTATTTGTTTGAGGAGTGAGTAGGAAATTATTTTATGAATACTTGTGTGCATGTGTGTATAATAAACACCATTTTGTCTTTCCATTGTTTCTGGGAGATATAGACTTAAACAAAATAGAAAGTTCTTACCTCTGTGCAGTTATTAGATTTCTCAAGCTGGATGAACCTGGAATGAATGGCACTGAAAACCACATTAGAATTATATCAGAAATATATAGCAATATATAGTATTTTATATACAAGATCATTGTGATTACTGATAGTTTTTATCTTTAATACATCAGAAATAACATCTAGGGTCATTCATAAAGGGCTTCTTGGTTGAAAGTACAGCGTAAAACTATAATTCACCACAATGTCCCCGTACTTGTACAAAACTGCACTTTGTGCTGCACAGACAACACTGCCACTGAGGGCAGAAGTCACCTGCAATTCCCTGAGCCCCTCCGAAAGCTCTTGGGGGCCCTCTGGGCTTTTGGCTGCTGCAGAGGGGGCAGTACCTGTGTAATTAGATCCCCTTTCCTCCTGCAGACATATTGCCATATAATTTTCTTATATTCATCATTCATATGGGTGCTTCCATAAAACATTATGGTTATTGTTTTGCATGATAGTTGCTGGTTTTGCTCTGTAAGAACCAGAGTCTTAACTGATGTTTTATGTCTGATTGGAGTCTGACAGCAAGGTTCTAATGGCTCTCTCACTTAATAGTGAAAAATAAAATAATTCAAATATAGGAATGAAGTAAAATATGAATGCTGATGGGGTTAATAAGATATCAAAGTACGATATCCAGCACATCCTTACTTCAAAACAATAAAATTACATGGGCCGTGATCCTTTCCTAGACAGTATACAGTTACCAGTCAGGCAATAACCTGAATTATAAAATAGATTACTGTGTAGTTTAACCTCAAGGACAGTAAGAATCCACAATCACCCTTTTTTTTTTTTTTTTTAGATTAAAATGTCAAGCTCCTACAAAGTGCTTCTGTGCATGTAAAATTGTGTTTAGTGTCAGTGTAAATTATCCAGATATTATATATGTTGAAAAGTAATGCTTATTAGGTTGAGTAGCTCTCTTTCTGAAGTTAGGGAATTAGTAAAATTAGAACACTATTCCCTAATGTTAATCTTTAAAGGTATTAGGAGTATTCCTGCTTTAATTGGCACATGATCAGCAAAAAGATAATGTGAGGGAGAGTGTGAGATTATTTCAAAGTTTGTGCTTTCCATTCCATTCCAAGATGCTGACAACAAACGTATCTCTTGCTTCCTCAGTAGGAGACATTCCGAGGACACGATGTCTCTGATTTCAGTGTTTTCTCGCAGTCTCCTTTCCTCTCATGGAAAGAAAAGACAAGAAAACAAAACAAAAACACATATAAAAAACCAATTAGCTTATGTGTCAATGGTAAAAAAATACTTGTTAAGTAAATGTAAGAAGTAGCATATGTGTGTGTTAATAAGTATATGCACATGAGAAAAGGTGATGATTCACATAGTAACAACTACTGTGCAGTACTAAAAAGGGGGGAGGAGGAAAGGGCTGTCTATAACGGATGAGCATTTTTTCCTTATTTTATTTATTTTATTTTATTTTATTTTATTTTATTTTATTTTATTTTATTTTATTTTATTTTACTCCATAAAAAATAGGGATCACCACAAAAAAAAAGATTGGACAAAAAAAATAAGACAGAGATTATTTAAATATGCCCGATAAAGGCCGTTATATAGAACAATAAGAAAAACAAACACTAGAAAGCAGCTAAGCACAAACAGGGTCGGGCCGGGGGCGGAGCGGGGACGCGGGGCGAGGCGCCGCATTGGCCGGATTTTGCCGCAGACCCCGGCTCGGGCGGGAGGGCCGGGGGCGCCGCACCAGAAGCAAGGGCCGAAGCGCAACCCGCCCCGCGCCCACCCAGGCCGAGAGCTCCTGCTCCTGCTGCTCCTGCTGCCGCCGCCGCCGCCGCCGGGAAGTCGCCCGCGCGGGGCCCGCGGCGGGGCGGGCTCGGAACGCGCGCGGGGACGCGCAGGGGGGCGGAGCGCCTGGGGAGAGGAGCGAGGCCGGGGAAAGGCGCGGCGACCGCGAGCGGCAGCGGGAGCCCCGGGCGGGGAGCGCTGGGCGAGGGGGGCAGGGGTCCCCCTCAGGGCGGCGAGCGGGGGGGAAAGGCGGGGACTGCGCCCGAGCAGCCGCCTCCTGGCGGGCCCCGCCCCCTGTCGGCGCAGTCCCCAACCAGGTCGGCTCCCAGCCGCTATATTGCCCCGCGCCGCCGCCTCCCGCCACAGCGGTGCCCGGCAGCGCGTCTGGCAGCATGTCCGGCAGGGGCAAGGGCGGCAAGGGGCTCGGCAAGGGCGGCGCCAAGCGGCACCGCAAGGTGCTGCGCGACAACATCCAGGGCATCACCAAGCCGGCCATCCGGCGGCTGGCGCGGCGCGGCGGCGTGAAGCGCATCTCGGGGCTCATCTACGAGGAGACGCGCGGCGTRCTCAAGGTYTTCCTGGAGAACGTGATCCGCGACGCCGTCACCTACACGGAGCACGCCAAGCGCAAGACGGTCACGGCCATGGACGTGGTGTACGCGCTCAAGCGCCAGGGACGCACCCTCTACGGCTTCGGCGGCTAAAGTGCCTCATTCTGCAAAGCTTAACTGTTAACACCAAGGCTCTTTTCAGAGCCACCCACAAATTTCACAATGGGAGCTGTTTYTTAACYMT